GACAGAGGATGAGATGGCTGGACAGTGTCATCGAAGCTACCAACATGAATTTGACCCAACTCTGGGAGGCAGTGGAAGACAGGAGGGCCTGGCGTGCTCTGCTCCATGAGGTCATGAAAAGTCGGACACAACTTAACAACAACAACAACAACAACAACAACAACAACAACAACAACAACATACCTCCTTTTTATAAGTGAAATTGTGATATGACATTGCTACATATGTTGGATGCTGTCATTGATATATTGCGGTGAGCTGTGGTTTTAAGCAATTAACCAATAAAGTGTGACCTGTGGTTTTAAGCAATTAACCAATAAAGTATAAAGTAAGTATAAAGCTAGCTTACCCACCACCATTTATATATACCATCTATCATTACACAAACGATTGTCTCATAAAGCTTGCACAACTATTTGCATACCACCAGTTCTAATGTTTGCGACTGCATGCTTTAATTTGACGTCATTAATATATTTTTGGTTTGAACTAGGACACTGAATACTGGAAACTGTGCTCTGTGTTTTTCAAATCAGAATAATAGAATCATTGAATTGGAAGAGGCCTATGAGGCCATTGCATCCGACCCCCTGTTCAATGCAGGAATCCAAATCACAGCAGACCTGACAGATGGTTGTCCAATTTTCTCTTGAATGCTTTCAGCCTTGAAGCACTCACCATGTGCTGAGGTTATCAGTTCCATTGTCTTACTGATCTAACAGTTAAGCCTGTTTTTTTTCTCATGCTCAGCCTCAATCTGGCTTCCTGGAGCTTGAGCCCAAATTGTGATCACCTTTCTCCTTGCCTATTTTGAACACTTTGCTGGTCTCATTTGGTGCTTAGTCAATTAAACAAAGACATTTTTGTTGTTCTTGTGAGTTAACCAGCTTCTGAACAAAACTGCAGAAGGGATGAGCTTTGGGAATATTGTGAGAGCAGTGAAAATGGTACCACTCCAGTAACATGCCAGAAAACAGCTTTTATTAACAAGTGTTAACAAGCATGCTTCTGACTTGCAACTGCTCTAATTCAGATTGGCTTGGGTTCGTTTGCCACACCTTACGTTTGCAATTCAGCAGTACAACCTGGAACAGAGAGCACAGCATTCAGAGCAGATCCAATAATCTTGGGCAGATCACGGTGAATAATACCATGGCGGAGGTGGGGAGACGCTAAGAGCACAGAACCTGGAAACATTATTTCCTGGGGCCAAATCTCCCACACTCTAAACTGCTTCCTCTGTGTTGGTTGTAGCTGTTCTGGCCTATGGAGGATGGGAGAGGGGCTTAGATGCTTTGTAGCTGCCTGACCGAGCCTACATCCCTCAGTCTTATGCAGATTCCATCATTCCATCTTTCTATTGGCAGTAACTGGGCACAGCAGGGCTTATACTGCCCATACATATTGCACATCAAATTGTCATAAAGCTGGCATGCCCATTTGCACTCCAGCAGTTCTACTGTTTGTGACTGCATGCTTTAATTTGAAAGCATTGATGTATTCTCATGGATTTAGGTTTGTGTCACTGCAGCAAAGGTCAATGTGCAATGATTTAAGACAGAATGGGGCAACATGTGGACCTTCAGATATTATTGGGCTGCAACACTCATGAGCCTTCAATAGTGGATGGTGCTGGCTACTGCTGATGGGAGCTGCAGTTTAACAGCATCTGGAAGGCTACACATTCCCCACTCCCTGTTTAAGGTTTAGTGTAAACCTCAGCCAGTTTGCTGCCTCTTAAACCCTTCTGGAGCAACACAGACTGTGAAAAATGTTTATAGAATAATAATGGCCAGAGTGCTCACTGGAAGGACAGATCCTGAAGCTGAGGCTCCAATACTTTGGCCATCTCATGAGAAGAGAAGACTCCTTGGAAAAGACCTTGATGTTGGGAAAGTGTGACGGCAAGAGGAGAAGGGGATGACAGAGGACAAGATGGCTCGACAGTGTCATCGAAGCAACCAACATGAAATTGACAGAACTCCGGGAGGCAGTGGAAGATAGGAGGGCCTGGCATGCTCTGGTCCATGGGGTCATGAAGAGTTGGACACGACTAAATGAGGACGACGAATAGCCAGATAATCAATTCCAGTTCTGAAAAACTGGTGGTGGTGTCTATTTGGGTTCATTTGTGCATGTGCTCATGCTAAACACTGAGGGACTTTATGTGACCTATTGAAAAGGTGAGTTGCCCCTGGCAACTCTGAGGAAGGCGATTCACTTTCTTTTATCAGGAAAAATGTTTGGAGGGAGACAGGGATTGTGGAATCCTCATGGGACAGGAAGCTGCAAAAACAATGGAATCTGCATTTTGCTCCTCCATAAACTAATTACCATCACCATCATTATCAACTCCAGAGCTGTAAGGGACCCTGTGGCTTATTGACTCCAGCCCTTGTCAAGGAGACACAGTGGGGCAGAATCTGCATTTTGCTCATCCATAAACTAATTACCAACACCATCATTATCTTACAACTCCAAAGCTGGAAGGGAGCTGTGGGTTATTGACTTCAGCCCTTGTCAAGGAGACACAGTGGGGGAATTGAACTACCAACCTCTATCTCTGCAGCCAGAAAACAGAGCCCTGAGCTATTGAGCAGTTCAATACGCCCTGTGATCAGCCCATTTCCCTCCAATAATCAGACATCTTCCAGCCCTGAGCTATTGAGCATTTCAAGGGGAATACCTACGCCCTGTGATCAACCCATTTCCCTCCAATAATCAGACATCTTCAAGGGTCTCATCTCTATTTTCTCAGTCAGGCATTCAAATTAAGCTTGTATTCATCATACAATAACCAAACAAAAAGGAAGCCACCCTAAATGTAAGACACAGAGATGAGGAAAAGCCCACATACCTGATAAACAGGTATATTTTACCATCTGAGGAAACAAGACTGCTAAATATATGTTAAACTTATCACCTGATATGACCCTCGGCTTTACTGAGGTCTGTCCCAATCCTCCAACTTTCCTTCTACAGTAACATCTATCTGCCATTTGTAAGAGCACGGTTTCATCGGGGCGTCTGTTCAATTCCAGGTGAGGCACTTGGAGCAAAAGAACAAGCTGTTGGAAACAAAATGGAGCTGTCTGCAGCAACAGGCACCTGTTGAGAGGAAAAGCCTTGAGCACCTATTTGAAAACTATATTGCAACCCTGAAGCGGCAGCTGGGCCTGTTGCTGAACGAAAGAGAACAGCTACAACGGGAACAGGCTAAATTCCACGAGGTAGTTGAAGACTACAAATGCAGGTAAAGAGTGGGCTCTTGCAGTAGAGGGGGTATGCATGCTCTCAAGGACTGGCAGCTTTAAGGAAGGGGTTTAGCCCATTCATGTTGGCTGGAATGATGTTTTTTTTGGCAAGGCAGGGAATGTCATTATGCTGGGCCTGCTGATTAGCTGAGCAGCAGTGGTAAACTGACCCTCTGTGCTCAGTTGCACTCTACTTCTAATCAGCCCTTGGCAGTTTACCTGATAATTATTAGAGATGAGATCTTTGGAATTCAAGGACTTCCAGTCCCATAATTCAGTGGAACATTCCCTCTCCCCCCCCCCAGCTGAATGATGGGACCATAATAAATGTTGTTCATTTCCCTAGTCTCATGTCTCATCCCTCCATCTTCTTCACAACTTAGCATCTGCTTTTCCATTGCAAGGTACGAAGGAGAAATCAATCGTCGTGTGGCTGCTGAAAATGAATTTGTGTTGCTGAAGAAGGTTAGTAATCGTTGGGCTCCTCGGTTCAAAAATGGGAGGGAGGATGGCCACCCCTCTCGTTCATTTGTGTATCAGATTCCCAAAGGCATCCAGGAAGCTCTTCCAGCAAATTGAATGCTGACTTTTGTCTGATCTAGCATGATTTTTCTTCTATTCTTGCCTGTTATAGTCACTTTATAATGATATGCATCATCCTGAATATTTAATTAAAAGGTAGGGTGTAGTTTGCATTATGCATTTATTCATGCCTGCATATTTGCATAGATAATTCCTGCATGGCGGGTTCAAGTTTCCAAGATTTTTAAAAATGTGCTTCCCAAAGCACAGGCAAGTCAACTGCTGACTTAAGGTAGATGCCAGATTGCAAATATATCAGTGTGACAGCACAATCCAATGTAAGTCCCACTGAATTGCCTGGGGCTTGCAGCCAGGTACCATGAGCCCTATGGCACCGTGGTAAAACTGCAGTAGTGCAGCCAAGCCTCTACTCACGATTTTAGTTCAATCCCTACAGACTCAGGTGCTTGGTTCATGAATGACTCTGATTTCTGTCCTTCCAAGATGAGTAAAATGAGTACCCAGTTCACTGAGGGACAAGTTGCTGTTTGCATGATTATGTTGTAAACTACTCAGAAAGTGCTCTAGCACTATGGAGTGGTATGTAAGTCAAAACAACATAAACAACATAGCAAGAACCATGTCAAGTATAACCATGGAAAGCACACTTTTAGCAGGGAAAAGTGGAGTTTGCTCAGTATCCTTGGGGTGTGCAGATTCTGAGGAGCTGCACATGGCTGCAAAGGACCCCTGTCTCAAACTGCACCTCCCACTTCCAACTGGGAGAAATAGCCCTACATGTGTCTACTCGGACGTCTCACTCGGTACAATGGAATTCTATTTCCCAGGGGAAAACAGAACTGCAACCTCAGTTACTGTAAAAAGGGGTGGAGGAGCTGAGGGGTTCTTCCGAAAAGCCACCAGATCAAAGGAATGTCTCGACTGAAAGTGCAGAGAAGACCATTCTTTTTTGCTCATGCGCTTTCCTTCCCTCCCTCTTTTTAAGCAACTCCTTTGTCAATGTCAACAATATTTGCTGTATTATTTATTTTCCCTCCAGGATGTCGATTGCGCCTATTCTGGCAAGATTGAGCTTGAAGTGAAAGTGGAAGCTCTAAGACAGGAGTTAGAATTCCTCAGATGTGTCCATGAAGCAGTAAGCGTCATCCTAGCATTTCTTTCTTTCTATTTTGGAAAGATTACATTCTAAGCTTTCTCTACACAATTTCCCCTCCTCATATGTACATTCCACTCGGTATCATCAAAGGTAATGGTGCGTAGAGACCTTAGTGAATCCCTTTCCTCACAACCCAATGGGAAATGGTAGCAAAAGACCACATTCTCTTCCTCCAAGCCACGTGAAAAGGCCAGGAGGCTCAGGAGAGAGTAGTGTGTGAAGGACAGTATCATCTATTTCCCTTAGTCTCTCGCATGCCATTACCACAAGTTGTTAATACAATATTTTTTTTACTACAACTCCCAGAATTCCACAGTCAGCAAGGACTGTACCAAGACAGCTTGAAAATTAAAAGTAGATTAAAGAAAAGTTAAAGGAAAATGTCAGGTAAATTAAAGAAAGGTGGAGGTTGGGGGAGTCATGGGGAGAAATTTGGAGAATGGCAAGGGTTGGTGGGGATGTATGGACTGGGAAGGGGTGAACCTTTAAATTAAATGTTTTCTTATCAGCCAAAGGACCGTTTTAGAGAGCTTAGCTAACCAACACTAAACAGACAACCTAATCTTCAGAAGCCTCTGTATTTTGGGTTTGTTTTTTTTTTAAATGTTTTCTACCATTTACTTTTAAGCACTAGAATACGAAAACAAAACAAACCAAGCAGGCTTATCGTTTCACTCGGTAAATCACTGAGGATCTCTTGTGATGGTTTCTTGGCAGGAACTGGAAAGCTTGCAGACAACAACTGCTGACACCAATGTGGTTGTGTCTATGGATAACAGTCGAGAGCTGGACATGGAGGGAATCATTCACTCTGTGAGGTGTCAGTATGAAGAAATTGCCCAGAGGAGCAAGGATGAGGTCAATGCTCTGTATGAAAACAAGGTAAACATATGATTGGTTGTGTGACAAAGCCCTGCCAGAGCAGGGAAACATCTATGTAGTTACTAAGGATGGGACTTTCATTTGGAAATGAATGAAAACCCCTGCAAAAGAGGCTCTTTCTTTCACTTTCAAGCCTAGTTTTAAAAAAAAGAGAGCCTCTTAACCATAAATGTTTTGTTCAGCCAAAAGTGGCTAAGAGAAGGTTTCATTTCATTTTCTCTTTTGTTAATCCTTTCACTTGGTGTCTGTCTGTCAAATCACCTAGGAAGTGTTTAATCAAACAGTGTTTCAAGGCCTGTTGTCAGTGGACAATTAGAATGTCAGTGCTTAAACAATACTGTACCTTTGGGGACTGGTGTGTGGGGAAGCCCTTGCTTTCTCTACTCTAAGCAAGTTTCCTTGGCCATCATCGCTCATCCTGCCCGCACTACCAGCCCACCCTCCTGCTCCTTTGGAGAAGACTTTCTTACCAGCAGCTCTGTCTTCCTCTCCTCCAACCAGGCCTTCCTATCGGCTCTTTGTCATCTCAAGCTGTTGTTGTTACTCTTCCAAAGAAGTATAGACTCCTCACTGGACCAGCAACACCAGCCAGCCAGTGAGATTCCCTTGAGGGATAAAATCAGCCAGCAGAATTGTTGGGAGAACTTCCTATGGGTCTAGGAGCTTCACTTTTCTTTTCTGGTGGTGGAAAGGGAGGGAGCGACAGAAAGGAAGATTACCCCCCCCAATGGTCTTCAGCTCTTGCTGTACCTCTAACCCCAGCCCTTCTGTGCATGTAT